GTACTGTTGAAGTGGTCGAATGAGACATACAATGGGGTGATGGTAGATTGAAGTGAGAATACAACTGTCGGTTTGTAGACCCTGCAGCATGAAAATACGTTGCCCAGGCTGCACCACTTGGAGGCAAGTCTATCGCACCACGTTTTAAAGTGTTATTTAATTTAATGGTGTTCTATCATTCGATATCTGCATAACGTTTTTCCACATATAAAGTGAAATTACAAGGATTTCAATTTTCTAACGATTTATCTGATGGGTCCCTGATGAAGATAATTTATAGAAAAATATTTAAATATAAATAAATTTTTGTTCGAACAGGGCCATGGTCTGTGCGGCTTTATTTTGCGCAAATGTTGCGAATTTGCATAATTATAAAATAAGCCTTATGCGAATGCAAGCACACAAACAAGTACCTGATTTTCTGCTCTTTGCCTCAATTTTTCTGCACGAAATGAAAGTTGCTTAGTTTGGAAGTTTAAAATTAAATTAGACATTCCAATTGTCTGATAATGCAAGTAAACATACTGAAGATCTGGTCAATAGCAATATATTTAATTTGTTTATCAATCATTACACTGCTACACCGTCTGTCTCCTACCAAATGTCGATGCGACAGCATGATAAGGTGAAGTTTGAATTAAAATGAGGTGGTTTTGTTGAAAAATCAATAGCGTATCAATACAGTGGGGAGGGGGTGGGTGAGAGTGGGGCAGAAGTGTAATTAACGAAAGTAGTGTTTGTATGCAAAGAGCGAAAAAGAAAAAATCGTTCCGGTGAGGTGTCTGAAGTGGGCTTTCTAAAGATAATTAAATAGAGCTTTACAGTATGGAACAGGAGAATGGTTAGTGACATAATGAACTTGGAGTTGAGCAAAAGTAAATTTCAACTTTAGAAAATGTCATTCAAAGTTTACATGAAGGATTTTAATTTACCGAGTAATTTTAATCTCCTTCCAAACATCTCATTCTAAGGCTGCTTCACACAAGAATGAATGCACGTTTGTCGCATTCAAGATGCTGAAATTAAATTAAATTTTCGTTTTTGTGTTTTTTTATATAACGACCATTGCATAAACATTGATTTTTGAGCAATGGGAATTAAGAGGGTTAAACTGTTGGGAGATTTTATTAAAACTGACTGCATTCATAATGACTAGACCACACTTCAGTTTAATTAACTGAAAGATTTTCATCGGGAGAGGCAAATTTTAATTACTATTTTTAAAATATTAACTTTAACAGTATGAATGAAGTTAATTATCACTATGCGTTCTAGCCAAATTTACGGCATAAAAATCCAATTTACAACATAGATATAATGAAAATTTGCAACTACAATAATAATACGTCCAGATTATTTACTTATTCTTAAAAAGTACCATTATTAAACGACAAATGATATGTATATATTATTATATACAATTCGCGCCATTACACTCAACCATGGGAAGTGTTTTCATCTTTGAAAAATTGAAATTGCAAAACCTATTCTTGATTCATAATCGTTTCTAAAGATTCGTTTCGATTATTTTATTCAATAATTTGTTTCATTATGCAAAAATTAAACACCTTTTCCTTATTTTGAATTTGGTATTCTTAAAGGTAAAATATTAGCATCCTGTGGTAAGATAGACTTACTTCCACATGGTGCACCCCGGGCAACGTATTCTCATACGGCAAAAAGTCTATAAACCGGCAGTTGACTTCTGCCTTCAAATTGCCATGACCCCACTGTGTCATTTCAACCACTTCCACCGTACTAATCTTACCTTTTCTCTGATTTTGTGGGTGTCTGTCTGTCTCTTTTGTATCTTTGAATCACTCTTCTGTCTCCCCCTATCCACTTTTTCTCACTTTGATGTACCTCCTCTCTGTGAAGCCCGAAGTCAGCTAAGGGGCTTATGATAAGTCTAATAATGTTACCATATTTTGAGAGTAAATTTAGCCTTTCCTTTTCATTTAAATTCAAATATACTTTCATTTAGGCAAATATAATAAAAAGGATAATATACACTATAGTGCACGGATTTATGGATTACTGATGCATAAATATTACTTTTTATAGGTTTTATTAAAACTCTAATTGAAGTTTTCCATAAAATGAATAGCCTGATATAGATTTGAGCTAGAAATACCGAATGTAACATTTTACTTCTGAAACATTTTTGATATTAAATTCTACATTTCAGTTTCCAAATACACACGATAGAGTTTATTCTTTTGATTTTGATTGGACAAATTGTATTGGTCAAGGGTTTTACCAAACACTACAGTCATATATTTGGCCAACCAGAGAGGGTCTATGCTTGAGAGACGAAAACAATGTACTTGGCTTGGCAAGACCGATAACCAGTAAGTCCTCCCAAACCCATCTGCTTAAGAGGGTACTTTGAAAGGGAAAAATACGGATAACTTATGAAAAACTAGCAATGGCGTCTACCGATTTTATCCCCACAGTACAAAATTCCACAAATGCTACAGATTTGCCTGATTTCTGTGAACCTCTCTATGTTTCCGGATTTCTTCACATTCTTGTGACCCATGTCAGTCTCAGCATTGCTATCCTCGGTATTCCAGCTAATATTCTCGCTCTAATTGTCCTCAACTACCGTGTTTCTAATAGAAATCCCACTCAAGTCCTTCTGACAGCTCTCGCTATTGAGGATATACTAATAATAATTTTCTACAGTATTTACTATATTGCTATTCACTATTTTGAATCAGATAACATTGAATGGCTAGGAAATTTGCGATATGTTGATACTCCACTATTCTACTTAGTCAATTCAACAAAGATGATTGAAATATATACAGTGGTACTTTTAAGTCTGGAACGCTATGTCGCTATACGATGGCCTTTGAAGGCTGCCCGGCTTTGCTCTGTTGGACGTACGAAGCGAGGTCTTCGAATAATTGTGGTGCTTTCTGGAATATTTAAGCTTCCAAATTTTATATTTGATTACCGAGTTTTGAGGTGGAATAATGCTTGCCAAACTTACAGATTGGAACCCGTATTTGGTTCTGAGTCATGGTACCCAACCTTTAAATTGGCCTATGTTCAAATTCTCGACCAAGTCTGTTCCTTTGTCATTCCACTGAGCCTTCTCATCTTCTTAAACTGTGGTCTTATTCTAAGAATTCGTCGTTTTACCAGACGGCATACTCACGGGCACTGGGTTGGTGCAAATGAGATGAGTTTGGATAATTCAGCATATAGTAATATGTATTACTCGGAGGCTTCACCAAACACATTTAGTAGTATTGTCTACGCAGATAAAACTGTATTGACAAGAAACCTGCCGTTTCAAACATCTTTTCGATTCCGAAGAAATCATACCGATAAACATAGTCTCAGCAGTGAACAAGAGGAACCGACGAGTCGGACAACTACTTGTACAGAAGGTGTTTGTTTAACAAGTATAACATCGGAATCAAGACAAAGAAATCTGAATTCAAAAAACCAGAGCATTTTGCTTACTCTAGTGGGGGTTGTAACAGTTTTCATAATATGTGAGACGCCTACGACAGTGTGCTTTCTATTTGAAATGGCGACTTTGATTTACAGACTCTATCAAGGAGATTTCAACGACACCGCCAGTACCAAAGATTCTGTTCTTTTGGTGACTTCAGACAATTTGTACTACTATGCTTATCCAGTTGCTCTATTGCTCGTCTTAGTTGGATGCTCTTCAAATTTCTTCATTTACATGCTGTTTGTTATCATGGCGCATAAAATGTGCTGCTGTAAGGATAAAACAAAAAAAGCCACAAACTATGGCCTTGTTAAACCGCTGAAACTTCTCAGCCGAAGCAAATCGATAAAGACCCACCCACCTCGACCGCCTGGTCGTCCAATGCGAATCGAAGCAGACAAGGTCATATTGAATTCAAACAGCTAATCAGAGGTCACATCCGCTCACACATTCGATTTCCGATTCCAGAATACACATAGCTGTCTTAACGGAAAGGATTTTACCAGCAGAGCAGTGAGTTTATCAAGCTGATGAAAGATCTCAAGAGATTTGATATTGAATGATTGATTCAACCTATATTCCCAACCCTCTCTGCACTTCCTACGCGCATAGACCAAAACTGCCCTTTGCACTATTTCACCAAGGGTAATTTTTTTAATAAAATAGATATGTATGGTATTTCAATTGAATATTATGTCTTTTAGTTAATTTACTTTTGAGAGTTTTCCCTTTACGCTATTTATCCTCCCACCAATATAACGTAATTAATTTGCCTCTATCTTTGTTAATATAGAGGAATAACATAATTAGCTTTTGCGAAGTAAGCAAAATAAAATCTACACTTATTCTACTTGTATAAGGTAAGGTTAGCAAAAGTACTTTTACGTCTAACGCATACAAGGCCATCGCGAAATATCGTCAACACGAGGAATGTTTTTATTTCTTCTTATACAAACAAAGTTTCAGTTTCCACTTGCTCCCTTATATTTCCGATTTGCTCAGTGGCTCCGAATTTAAAAAAAACAGCATTACTGCTTATTCTAATGTTGTGTTATTATGAATATTTTTTTCAGGTATCTTAAGAATAGAAAATTCAAACTACAAACAATGTTGACTATTATAGTCAAATATTTGTGGAACAATTATTATTATAATTAGTGATTATAGTTTTGCCTAATTAACTTTAAAAGATTTTGTCATGTACCCTTTTGAATTTAGATATCGTCAAATATTCAATACACTGTTGTCTGACTAAGATTGTAAACGAATCTTTTTAAAAAAGCATATTATTTATGCATTTCTATATCTCCAAGCCTTTTAAATGTTTATATTTTTGTGACAAATTTTATTCATTCATTTTTTAAGCTGGAAAATAAAATAATTGTAATTTATGAACTTGAAGAAGAAGTAAAAATTGAATTTGTTCCTGTCTAAATAACTTAGAAATTATATGTCATTGTATTCTTTGCTAAGTTGGCATATTCAAAAGCAAATCTTGCTTATTTAATTCGCGATTTCAAAATATTTAGGAATTAAAACTTTTAATATATTAAACATATGCCAATAGGTAGGTAAATGCAGTAGATATCCATTTGTGAAAATTTAATTTAGTCTTTAGGATGAAATAGGTAGAATGATGATAATTTTTCTACAATTTGATTCCATGTCCTGATAACGTGTTAGCGTATATTTCAAAGTTTATATTTCAAAGAATATATCATTTAAATGGGCGATTTTCAAAAGAAAAACAGTATAAATTACATTTTCCTCTAAAAATCATATTTTTGGGACAAAAGTGTATTATATATTTATTTATTTATATCAAATGGCAGGCGTCTTGATAGTTATCAGTATCCCTTTAGTTGACTTCAGACTTCACAGAGGAGAAGGAACATCAAATTGAAAAATTTCGAGAGGGCGGGGGGGGGGGAACAGAAGAGTGTTTCAAAGATGTGGAAGAGACAGACAGAAAAAAGGTAGAAAAAAAGGTGAGGTGAGTACTGTGGAAGTTGTGGAATATGACATCCAGTGGGGTGATGGTAGTTTGAAGTCAGAAGCCAATTGCTGATTAATAGACTTTTTTGCCGTATGAATATACGTTGCCCAGGGTGTACCACGTGGAGGTAAGTCTATCGCACACCTCAGTATATTATATATTGTATCCTAACGTTCGATGCTAAAGCTTCTGAATGCCTAATCGTTTTAATTGTAGAAAGGTTTTAATAAAATATATTTCCGTTTCAATAAGACGATTTCCTTTTCCTGAGATACAAAACCCCTTTATTATATGCACTTTTGATATATCAATTTGATCAGATGATAATTAGTCGTAAAAGTATTTTCAAAACATTATTTTACTTGGTATAATACAAAATGGACATAAAGTTGCCGAAAAATTAATAGTGCTTGAACAGAACTTTAAATTAGGACTGAAAATTCTTCGGAATACTTTTAATATAGATTTAGTTAAATTAAATTAACTTTACTGAGATTTATAGCAGTTTCTAGGCTCACCTTCAAAGTTGCTTACTTATGCAAATATATATCTCACAGTACATTTTATGCATTTCACGTGCTAAGTGTTTTAATTCTATCAAACGATTTTACATTTGGCGTATTATTAAATATAAATTTCCAATAAGTAAAAATAAATAATTTTCACTTACCTTTATGCACCTTGAAGTGGTTTTCTAAAGCGAACTTAAAAAAAGCTTCCAGGAGAAATGAAAATTAAAATTCAAAGCCAACTCGATTTTTCCACTTTTTTCTCGCAGAAACAACGAAGATGAACTGGAAGACTTTTGACTCGATTTTTTGCCTTCTAGTAAAGTGAAAACCTCAAATCACTATCAAACTTTGTCAGCAAAATTTCATTTTTTCACCATAAAGTCCCGTGTACTGAGTGCGATCAGCATTCGTATGTATTTCCTTTTGTTATTTGTTAAAAGTTTTAACTTTAGACTTCGCCTATAGGCATCTTATTAAGTAAAAATAAATTTAATTGATTATGGCATCTTTGAAGGAAAATACTGAGAAAGTGCCATTCGTAATGACGGTAAGCGCAAATTTAGCTTAAACAAAATTGTCGACCCTGTGTCACAATTAAATCATATTAAGTAAAAGTGTTATGAGATTGATTCATTAATAGCATATACCAAAAGCATACATTGCATTTGTAAGCTCCATTTAAGATTGAACGTTAATTTATCTTTGTTATGGACAATTTTTTGCAACATGGTTTTTCTTCACACAACAGTCCCAATAAAGCATGTTTTGCCTTTTAACATTCGCATTTGGTAATGGGGTCATCCATTAATTACATGGCCTCAATAGGATAAAACCCACTGGAAAAAAATATACCGTCCCAGACATGCCCTCTTTGGACATTTTTAAGTTAATATGGAGTTATTTAGAAAAAAACGCGTAGCTATCAATTGAATGCGGCTGAGTATCCATAGATGCGAAAACATGGCTATAGCATAAGCAAACAAACTAAACATTTATTTATTTATTTCAAATGGCAGGCTTTATAATAGTTAACATTAGCCCTTTAGCTGACTTCGGGCCTCACAGAGAGGAGGGGGAACATCAAAGTGACAAAAAAGTCGAGAGGAGGGACAGAATAATGATTGACAGTTGTGATAGAGTCAGGCAGACACTAAGGCAGAGAAAAGGTAAGATGAGAATCGTGAAAGGGGTCGAATATGACATACAGTGGGGCCATGGTAGTTTGAAATCAGAAGTCAACTGTCGGTTTATAGACTTTTTTGCCGTATGAGTGTACGTTGATCAGGGTGCACCACTTAGAGATAAGTCAGTTGCATACCCCTTAACAAACTAAACATTACTAACAATCAAGTAAGATGTCTGTGTCGGTAAATGCTTAGAGGCAATGCAAATTTCAATGGATGTTGAATTTGTGGCATTTCTTCATCCTTCCAAAGTGAAGGCTAACTAAGGGTCTTTACACTTTAAAATTCTTCTTATAGTGAGTGAAATAGAATCTAAGTTGAACGCTGTTCACAGTTGAAAATTAAATTAATTGTTTTTATTCTCTATTATAAGGGTTAACATAAATAGGTTTTCACACTTAAAACCAATTTTCTTTGTTCAGTTCATCTACGTCTTTCTCCCTCTTGCAAACACCATTCTTTTAAGTAATAATTCAAAAGGACCAATTAAATTATTCTATTGTTTTTTTTAACTATGCCAAATTAGTAACATTAAGTGTTAATCAGAGCAGCCATGCCGGACCATCGAATATCAGCCGAATAAGTAGATTCTCCAATTGAAAATCGTTTGTTTCAAGGTTTTTGCTTAAAAAAACTAATCAATATAAAATGTCTTGCATTTTGTGAATGAATAGTAAATCAGGTAAAATTAAGAAATTAATGCATCACTGGATACCGCTTATGCAGTCATTCTCCATTGCTTTCACTTAAAATAATTAGTTTTTTTCTATTCCGTGGACCCATTTTGCTTTTCCGCTTAGAAAAAATATTTTTGCTTTGAAATATTTGATATCACCATTGGATCGGTATTTTTACAATACCAAACAGATATGCAAACTAAATTTTGATATTATGTGTTATGAAATATCAGTTAAAATCAATTTGCAGTAAATTGAACAAATGAAAAAGACGAAGGCATCAGATGGTCTTAGTCACTTTAGATTTAGGAAATATAATTGTTAAAATATTTGCTAGCTGACAGTTGGCATTTCGAAATTCTAATTGCCCTGTGTAGCCCATTTTTGAAATGCGAAATGGTTCCTCTTCCATGTTTTACAGTGACAGTCAGCCTTTCAATTTAATTTGGTGAGTCCATTTGACTGGTATTTCAAACATCATTTTTTACAGCTAAGTGTGATAGGGAAGCTAAAAAATTTCATTCTTAATTGCTGCTACAATACTAAACGCGCTATTACACAAGAATTTACAACTTTAAATAACAGTTTCACAAGTGAAAATGAGAATTTATGCTGCTGTATTCTAACCGACGGAAACAAATGATAAAAATGGTATAAAACATGGACGATAACTCCTACAGATTTGACGCCTGTCTAGGTCTGAATTTCTTGCTTACCCATTAGAATTATTACCCTTATTCCGAATTCAATCACATAAGACTATTTAAATATTTATTTATTTCAACTGACGGCCTTTTTGATAGTTATTATTGGCCCTTTGGCTAACTTCGGACTTCACGGAGGAGAGAAGCATCGAAGTCATAAAACGTCGATAGGTGGAAAAGAAGAGTGATTCACAGGTGTGAAAGAGACACACAGACACAAAGGTAGAGGAAAGGTTAGATTAGTTCTGTGAAAGTGGTCGAATATGCTATACAGTGGGGTCATGG